AATGTGGATAGTATATAGTGCATGGAAATTGAAGACTTATTTTGAAGCATCTAGGTCCATAAGTTGAAAACTGGCAAGCAAGGAATATTGCTTAAATCAGTTAGAAACAATAATTAGCTAAAAAGGTGGCAGCCCATTGGCTCAGGGCTCACTGTTATTTCTCTTTTCCTCCATTCCTTCTAGTTGATGATTAACTTTTTTGGGTTGCATTATTTTTGGTGTACAATAGTGTGCTGTGCCATGGATAAGAGGCTTATAAAGAGAATAAGGTAAATTATAGAATGTAAAAGTCAAATTCTGTACTTGTTAGTTCTCATTAAAATTAAAGGAAGTACATTGGCAATAGGCCTTAGACCTCCAATAATGTGGGGCTAAGAACGAGGGGAAACTATTATTTATCTAGAACGCAACATGAGCCAGCATTTTGCTTGCTGCTTTGTTGTGAAAGATGTATATTTAACTGGGATGAGTAATCCTTGTAGTATTTTAAGTTACGTTCGTTGGATAGATTTTTTTTTTTTAATATATTTTATTGATTTTTCACAGAGAGGAAGGGAGAGAGATAGAGAGTTAGAAACATCGATGAGAGAGAAACACAGATCACTGCCTCCTGCACATCTCCCACTGGGGATGTGCCCACAGCCCAGGTACATGCCCTTGACCGGAATCGAACCTGAGACCTTTCAGTCCACAGGCCGACGCTCTATCCACTGAGCCAAACCGGTTTCGGCACGTTGGATAGATTTTTTATCAGTATTCTTACTAGCAGGAATATTAGAATGAAAAATAGTTTATTTCCAGTTTTCTTACCTATACTGTTGTGAAATCAGATGATAATTTCCCAGAATTTGGGGGAATTGAAAGTGTGTCTCTCCCCTTCTTTAAATAAATAATAGCATAAGAAAAACCATAGTATTTGGGAGAACAGCTAACTTTTCTCTTTAATTCATTGCATTAACTCAGCAATGTAGTGATCACCAATTAGAATAGCACACATGAAAAATACAAACGTGGCATAACGTGTAAAAAGAGAGGAACTGACGTGCTTTCCTTCCTTCTCCAGTCCTTTGTTAATAAGCAGTTGTCAGTGTCCTGCCCACACAGCTTTCTTTTGTAAACTTTATTTAAAAACCAGTGATAAGTATGGTAGCTTTTACAGAATTTTGTTTTTAAACAACTTTATCATAAGCAATGATGAAAGCTGTTTGTTCCTTTAGATTTTGGTAGATTATTTGTTAAAGTGATGTAAAACATAACTCGTACCACAACTTGTCTTTGCATGCATTGTTATATATTTGTAGACAAATAGTGTATTCTAACACAGGAGTTGGCAAACCATGGTTCAATGGTCAGTTTTTAAATCATGTGTGAACTTAGAATGGTCTTTTAAAGGGTTGTAGTAAAAAGAAAAAACAGAATATGCAGCAGAAATCATGTGGCTCTCAAAACCTAAAGTATTTATATCAAACATAAATATCTGATCCTTTACAGAAAAAGTTTGCCAACCCTAAAATATAAATACATAACTCTTAAGCTTGGGAAGTTCCAGTTCCAAGTGAGGAGGTGTAATGACATGACCCCCATCTCTCAGGAATGCCGCTCTTATAAACCTGCACAGAATGCATGGAGCAGCTGTTCAAAGATTCTGAAAAGTAAATAATGGCCGGCAAATTAGGGAAGACCAGAATTTGAAGTACCACCAAACTGGCTGTGAGTTTGCCATTTGCCCCTTGTGTTGTCACATGGCCTGGTCTCAACTTAGACTGAAACCAGGTGGCAGACAGCAGTGCAGGCAGAGAGCTCCAGGCTTTAGAAGTAGAGGCGTGGCTCCTAGTAGTAGCAGTGGTGCAGAGGAGGATATGGTTTCTTACTTAAAATGGGCAGGTAGGGGAGCCTTCCTTTGTGACTAGAGGATCTGTGGTCACAAGAGGATGGGGCACACTGCATTTGTTTTTTTTTCTCTTTCTGTCTGCCTACCAGTTGGCCCCCACTGCAGGAACAGTTGCAGACAGTGGCAAAATGGGAGGTAAATAAAGCTCCAGCTTTCTGGGCAGACTGCCAAGAGGGAGAGCCCCAGGGAACCAGAAAGTACTAGGGAGATCAGGGAGAGATGGGAACTTGGGAAAGGGACCTTATAAAGTTATTCATGTCTTAAGAGACATGAATGATAATATCTCTGTAATGCTCAGAACAGAGCTTGAATAAGAGTAAACCTAATAAACAGCTAGTTAATAAATCAATTATTATTTTCCTTAGTGTTGTATAGGAAACACAGATTATCTTCCTTTCCTTGGTTTAGATTGTTAGGAGTCATGGGGATTAAAAAAAGTATTGGCCCATCTGCAGCAACCATATGCCAGGCCACACTCATTTAATCTTAGAACATTGCACTTGAAAGGGATTTTGGAGGTCAGATGTTCTAAAAAGTAAAGTAGCAGCCCTCCCTGCAGTTCCATTTAGAGATGATCAGTCATCTGAGGCTGTCAGTGCACTTACAGTGAGAGCTGGCCACTTCTGGAGGGTCATGTGATTGTTTAACAATCATGTATACATAATTTGTCTTTTTTTTTCTAGCCTCTGTAAAATGTAAAAAATTAAGTTGAATCCTTTTTTCACACTGTAGTTCTTAGTCATTCAGAATATTTGAATAGATTTAATTCTGTTCTGGCGATTCTCAAAGTGTGGCCCCAGGATCTTGCTTAACTGACAAACTTTTCTCAGGACACCTGCTTCTCTCTTCCCCTTCTTTTAATCCATGAAGATATACCCTAAATTTTTTGTGTGTGCCTGTGTGCATTTTTCTGGAATGAGGTTTGATAACCTGAAGAACATTTAAGAATCACTGCTTTAGACATGCTCTCAACTACAATTTGTCCTGCATACATTTGTATCTCAAGGGAACAGAAAATGTTTTTTAATTTTCTCATAATGGTAGAAAGTGATTGAAGACAAAGTTTAGGAATTTCACAGAAAGAGGAAAATCTGAGAGTTAAAGCAAAGAGGTAGAGTTCACCTATATTCGCTGAGCAAACCTCCTGTTTCTGTGGTAAGTCTTCCATCTAGTCTGCTTAGGGAATTATTTCTGACGTAATAAGAAATGTTAAGCAGAAGGTAGGATTCAGTGAAGCAGTCTTTTCTTGAAAACATCTATGCTGCAGATGAGGAATAACTATTTTGTCCTGCAGTGGATAATTATCTTAGCTAAAGATAGATAGTATTGTGACTATTATATATTCAAGTGCATACATTATACACACACAAACAGATATAGTTCAGTTAACCTTCAAGGTCAACCCAGTCCTGTTTTGTTGTTTTAAGCTGCTGTATCAAGTCTCATGCTCTGTTGTTGAGAATAGAACAGGTATTGTCTCCTCATAATGGTCATCCTTGACTTCCTTCGTAAGACCACAAAATGCAATTGCATGGGAAAACACCACTGGAAGTGCGGAGTAACTGATGTCGCTTTCATGAGTTATCTCTAGATTGTTACCAGCCCAAATAAATTCCTCATGCATGCATACATTTTATAATTGTACATAGCTATCTTGTCATCAATAGCCAATTAAATAACCACAGTTATGCCCATAAAATATATAACTTTTTAATAATTTTGCAAAATACCTAAAAGAAAAAATAAAATAAAGTATTATGGCTACAAATATATTTAATTCAGTAGAGACATAGTACACAGTAAAGATAGAGGTGATAACATTTGGATAAAAGTATAAACTATTATAAAACTTAATGAAATTGAAATCATTCTGCTGATGAAAGTTACAAGGGAAGTATTTGTTTTTCATTTCTAAAGCCATGTCATTATTAGCTTACTATAGGAATGGCAATATAGGTCAGCAGAAATTATGTAGTACTTACAAAAATCTGGTAAGTTTTTCTATACTGATAAAGAGCTAATATGCTAATGGTCGATATGCTGTAACAGGTAACGACCAGGTCATTAGCATATTAGTTGGTGTGTTGCTCTGGAGAGGGGGCAGAAACGGGGAGGCGCCCGGAGGAGGCGGGACCATCCCGTGTGGGGGAAGGCAGGGGTGAGAGCGCATAGCGCCCCCCCTCACCAGTCCTTTGCCACCCACCGCTTGCACTCTGAGTGCCCACGGCCCACCTGCCAGGGGAAGGAACACAGCGCAGCAGGCGGGAGGCTTCCATGCTCTCCTCTAGCGCCATGATGGGATGGAGCCACTGTGTTGCTCTGGAGACGGCTAGGAAGCGAGGAGGAGCCCAGAGAAGGTGGGACCAGCCCTAGGTGACTCGAGGGACTGAGGGTGGGGCTTGAAGTGGCCAGAGAAGGCCAGAGGGTTTGGGGGCTGGGCCAGGCGTGCTGGAGCTCTGCGTGGACAGGGTCGGGTGTCAAGGCAGGGCGGCGTGCGTGCGATTTCAAATTGCGTGCTGGGCTCCTAGTTTAGTATAACAAACTATTTAAAAAGTTATGCTGCACATCTTGCTTTGTGTCTATTGCTATCCTAAATCTAGGGTAGATCTTTAACAAAGGGTAAGAACTTATTAGATACTAGAGGCCTGGTGCATGAAATTCATGCACACGGGACGGGGGGAGATCCCTCAGCCTGGCTTGCACCCTCTTGCAGTTTGGAGCCCTTGGAAGGTGTCCAACTGACGGCTTAGACCTGCTTCCCGCGGGGAGCTCACTGACCACCAGGGGGCAGCTCCTGCGTTGAGCATCTGCCCCCTGCTGGTCAGTGTGCATCATAGTGACCTGTCGTTCCACTGTTCAGTTGATTTGCATATTAGCCTTTTATTATATAGGATGTGGTGACTGCTTCAGTTGATAGAGAAGGAAGGTCAATTTGAGGTAAGGTGGAGAATTAAGGGGGAATGAAAGGAGACAGTGACACATGTTGATACCTTTGGCATTTTGTTTTGTTTTCTAACATAGCAAATATAAGGTGCCTTGTCTGCCAGTCTGTGAGGTCTGTGGACTTTGATAAGGTGAACTGAGCATTGCTTGATATTTTTCTTCCCAGATTGGCATCAAAGTGAAAATTCCTCTAGTAATGTCCACACCCTCTTATTTAGGGTTTGGTACTGCATCTTGCCCAAGAGAGTATCAGGTAAATGTTGTCTGATGAGGATGAGAATACATTTTTTTCCCCGAGGAATTATCTTTATCGTTATGTGACACATTTCTCAGGGTCATTGGAAAATAGAAATCTTGTTTGAACTTGAACTCTTACTGTGTGGTTTTTGCTGGTTACTCTATTATAAGTTTTATATGAATTTTAAAAAAATGGATTCATTTTGTAAAGTGCAAAATCCTCTAAATATTGAAATGTAATATAACTGGTTTTAACTGGGATATTTAAGAATAACATGTATTGAATTTGAATAATAAACATAAGGACTTTCCGAAGGTGTGAGTTTCCCAAGTTTTAGGAGTTTATGAATAGATCTTATTCCCTGCATTTATTGACTTGGTGTATTTTTAGCTAAATAGCAGGATAATTATTATTGCATAGAGTGTTAGCATAGCATCCTCAAAATGTCTCTGTGTGAGATTTGTGCTTGTCTGAATGTATGTAGTCAAGTCATTTTATTTTGAACTTGTGAAAGCATTAATTTCTAAACATTGTCTTTGTTTTCTTCAAAAGTAAATCAGTAACCTCAAAAGAAAATATTACTTATTTCTTGAGGGTTAGGGGTTACAGATGTGTGGTGTATTCTGCCCCAGGATAAGTTTTGGGGAAATTACTTGGAAATCAAGGAATCTCAAGTGGAACTACTTCAAAACACTGCTGTAATATGCTCTGTAAGGTAATTAAGTCTTGACATATAAAGACATGTAAATGTAGCCTTCTAAAAGAAAGTTATAGGCTTTTCTTTCACAGTAGGGACTCTTAATAAATAATTTACATTAGTTGAATATTTGAAAAATACTGTATAGAATAAGCAGTGATACAGTTACCAAAATTTGTATTGTTTTTTCACTTTCACATCATTAATGCTGTATATATATTTTTTAAGCTGGATATGTCAAGTGACCAGATAACTGCCAATCTGCAAGCTGTTATCAATGAAGTATGTAGGCACAGACCGCTGAATTTGGGTGAGTGGGTAGCAGGGCTAGACTTCCCTATAGCCCTGTGATACTTTAAAAATGTAAAATATTAAGAAGACAATTAAGTCATATGCAACTACAATAGCAACAGTATATCCAGGTATTAAATAAATAACATTTAATTCTTCAAAGGATTCTTAATTGCCTTATTAACAAGTGTAGTTGTTTAGAGAGGAGACCTCTTTAACATTAGTGGGAGTACTCTACATCCTGAAACTTTTGTAAATTCCCACATGATTTCTACCATTAAATGTAATAAATAAAATTTGAAGGAAAACGGTAACTGATTGTCTTAAACTTACAATGGCATTAAATAGAAAATAAAATAAAACAGAAATGGTAATGAAGCCACACCATTCACTTTGTCACTGGCAGTAGCTCTCTAAATCTTATTTATTTCAGAAAAGAAACAAGGTTTTAATCATGTCGTGAAAACAGTGAAACGTGATCGAGGCTGTGTAGTAGACTAGGGCCCCTATCATTGCATACGTGCCACTCATTCCTTCCTGAGGCAAGTTTCACTCGCAGCTGTTTGAAGCCAAGCAAGTGTCTTTACCTTCAATGGACTATCCACTTATAATTCTATCATTATAGGAATCTGTCACTGAGTTTTATATCCAGGTGTCTAACTACATCACAATATTTCACTATTTTTCACTTTCTTTGAGTGTTAAACACACTGGTGATAACTGCCTCATTTGCTAAATCTGTTGTCTTGGATTTGACCATAGTGCTTAGTAATGGTATGAATATGGGTTCCTGTATTCCATGGATAACTTTGGTTTGAGTATAGGCTCCTCTGAGACTATAGGGAGTAGAATGAGAGATAGTAAATCTCTAAAAACAATGTAGTTATCTGGTTTTTGCCACTTTGAACAAAGTCCCTTAACATTAGTCATAGGAAAAGCCTTTTCATTTTTAAGGAATTTTATTAAATCTGTGTTGACTATTTTATTTATTTATTTACTTATTTATTTATAAAATATATTTTATTGATTTTTTACAGAGAGGAAGTGAGAGGGATAGAGAGTTAGAAACATCGATGAGAGAGAAACATCGATCAACTGCCTCCTGCACACCTCCTACTGGGGATGTGCCCACAACCAAGGTACATGCCCTTGACCGGAATCAAACCCGGGACCCTTCAGTCCGCAGGCCGACGCTCATCCACTGAGCCAAACCGGTTAGGGCTGTGTTGACTATTTTAAATAAATATTTAGACTATTTCCATCAAATGTAAATATTACTACCTGCTCTTTCATTGTTGACTTTGCAATAAAATAAATTCTAAGTGACCATATTCTGGAAGAGAATTATTCGTGATTATGTGTAGTTTAAAGGATAAATTAGAGTGTAGTTTGTCTTCTACTCTAGAAATAAAACGATTTTTCCTTTCTTACACTTCAAAATATTAGTTCGGTAATGTCAGTACTTACAAGCTATTCCATGAGTTCTCTAAGGTTCATTGTTTTATGTTTATATTTGCTTACTAGGTATCTCTGGAATAAAATGAAAGTTGATTCTTCTCTTTGTTTCCAGGACCCTTTGTGGTACGAGCTTTCCTTCGTAGTTCGACAAGCGAAGGTTTGTTACTAAAGATGGAGCCATTGTTGCCTAAAGAAGTGGAAACCAAAGAAAGTAGCAAAGAAGCTGCCTGAAAGTGTTGTATTGTGAAATTATTCATAGTGGATGAAGAAGCAACAGAAAAATCATAAAACTATAATTTCTACATTTGGTGTCTTGTTATTCATTTATTTACTAGGGGCCCAGTGCACGAATTTGTGCACCTTGAAAGGAACTGTGGGTTGCAAAGCTGTGATAGGCACAGGGGTGGGTCTCAGCTCATCTTCCTTGCCCCCAGCCAGCCCCTCCCTCTGTGGCCCCTGGTCCCCTGTCTGCCGGCAGCCCCACTCCTACCGTCGCTCCCACATGCTGATGGCACCGGCCCCTCTCGCAACTCACTGATGGCGCGGAGTGATTGGGGCCGGCGCCAGCAGCAGGTGCGAGTGGTGGCTGCTGCCCCAATTGCCCCTCAGGAGCAGAGGGAGGTGGAGAACCCCTCAGGGGCAATCAGGGCTGGCAGTCGCCACTTGCACCCGCTGATGGTGCTGAGTGATTGGGACTGGTGCCGGACACTGGCAGTGGGTGCTAGCGGTGGCTCTGGCACCAGCAGTGGGTGCGAGTGGGGCCAGCGCCAGCAGAAGGTGCGCGGGAGCAAAGAATTTTCAGTAACCACCAGAGGCTCGCTCTGATGACAGCAACTGGCTCCCTGCCTTGGTCTTGCACCCCCTCTCACCTCCTCCACCATCCCATTGCACCCGACACCTGCCATGTTCTGCACATGCCCCTGGTGGTCAGCGCACATCATGGTGACCGGTTGTTCGGTTGTTTCAGTTCCGGTCATTCTGCTGTTCGGTCTATTTGCATATTAGCCTTTTATGATATATGTATTTGTTTATTTTGTTAATCCTCACCTGAGGATATTTTTCCATTGATTTTTAGAGAGAATGGAAAGGAGGGGGAGAGACAGAGAGAAACATAGATGTGAGAGAGACCCATCAATTGGTTGCCTCTAGCACAGGCCTTAACCAGGGCCAAGGATCGACCCTGCAACCCAGGTACATGCCCTTGGCTGGAATCGAACCCATGACCCTTCAGTCTGTGGGCTGACGCTCTATCCACTGAGCCAGACTACCTAGGGCTCTTTTTTATTTTTATTTACTAGTATTAATTTCAGAGAGGAAAGGAGAGGGAGGGAGGGAGGGAGAGAGAGAGAGAGAGAGAGAGAGAGAGAGAGAGAGAGAGAGACGGAGAGAGAAACATCATCGATGAGAGAATCATTGATATGCCACCTCCTGCATGCCCCCTACTGGGGATAGAACCAGAAACCTGTACGTGTGCCCTGACTGGGAATTGAATCATGACCTCCTGCTTCGTACTGCATAGGTGGATGCTCAACCACTGAGTGACACTGGCTGGACTGGACTGTCTTACTTTTTGATCATCATTCTTGGAAGTGGATTTTAACACTGGAAAAATCTTACAACGCTTTCAAAAATAAGAAAATAAAATTTTCTCTGTGTCTGAGCCTGCCTTTAGATCCCTTTAAGTCTTAGAATTCAGCTTTTACATGCTGAATTACTGTTATTATAGCAGCAATTTTTAGCTTAATAACTTTCCCTTGAGAACGGTACCATCTGAGGGAAAAGAAACATCCTTATTCCCATAAGAGAGAGAATGGCGGCGTAGTGAACTACATCACAAACATGACTATTTTCTAAAGAAAAAATAAGGAAAATGTTGGAAAACATTCATACTAAAAAATTCTGAATGTTATTTGATATAACATGAATATAGAAAGTGACTAAGCCATTTAAATGTAGGTGTAAAATCTTTTCCTCTTAGGAATCAATGTATAATATTTATATTTTTATAATAACAATACTGTTTATTTTAATGGTGCTTTGTGATATACAAGCACTGTGTATAATGTTTTCATGTACTTAATTTGATTCTGAATTCCTCTGCTTAATAGGATGTAATCACTGCTTGGTGTTTGTTGAATGAACATCCCAGGAGGTAGGTAGAACAACTTCCTTTATGGATGCAGAATCAGGCTAAGAAGTTATATGTCTTTCATCAAGTTACAGTTAGCAAACTGGTATTGGTCCTAAAGTGTTCACTGGTAGGTGGCAACACAGGAGGAAGAAAAAAATAAAGGTAGATAATTTGTCATGCAGTTGCCAACTGTCCTTTCTTGGTAATGATTTTCCATATTCTGAGGATGTCTTTCACTTTTTTAGGGATATTCAAATGCCCTTTATGAAATAACAGTGCTGATAAATTTGTTGGTGGGTTTTAGTAATAGCCAGTTTATGATGAATATTTTGACAGCTCCATGTAAGTCTCCCAAGTTGTTTTTGAAATTATAGTGTTTTGAGAAGTCCAAATAACTGTGCAACCACTGAATCCCGGTAAGCTTTTTTTCCTACAGAGAAATTAAAATTTAAAGGCTGTTTACAAAAAAACAGCAAACTACATTAACTATAAAACAGTAATGGCAGTCACCTTCCATTTTGTGCTTTCCCTGCGTCCTCTTATTTCATCCTAACAGCAGTCCAGGGAGGAGAGTGTTGCTCCCATTTTATAGATAAGGAAATTTAAACTTGTAGGAGGTCCAAAAAGTGGCAAGCTAATATTCTAAACTAGGTCTGTCTGATTTTGCAGCACGTTCTTTTAACCATTAGGCTATTTTACTTCCTGTTTGTATATTTTAAGGTAAATTAAACTAACTGAACAATTAAAATTAAAAAATATTGAATAATTACACTTCAGTTTCTTCGTATCTCTGATTATGGGGTTATGATGGCTGATGGGAAGAGAGTAGAAATAAAAGGGGTGGAAGGAGTGGGATGAGTGAGACAAGAGTAATGCAGGATGAAGAGAGAGAAAAGATATTTCCCACAATTACTATCTTTTGAAAGCTTACTAATTAATCATTATTTGAAGATTCAGGTTCACAGAGTAGAAGCTCTATTGTATTTACTCTGTTAATCACAAGAAAATCTTGACAATTTTAGAAACACTAATTTTCAAAATCACATAATCCTACCACTCATAGGTAACTAGCATTAATATATTTTTAATGTATTTTTATTGATTTCAGAAAGGAAGGGAGAGGGATAGAGAAAGGGAAACCAATGATGAGAGAGAATCATTGATAGGTTGCCTCCTGCATGCCCCCTACTGGGGATCAAGCCAGTAACCCAGGCATGTGCTCTGACTGGGAATCCAGCCATAACCTTTGGGTTCATAGGTTGATGCTCAACTACTGAGCCACACCGGCCAGAGTATTAAAATTT